AGGGGCTCTCCCTAGCATAGGTGTGGGTTTCTTGTTATGCTCAGTGAGGCGTGAATAGCAAGGCCCTGTAATTCTCCTGTCTGCTCCCCTGCAGAGCTGGGGGTGCAAATGTCCACCTAATACCTGCCTTGGTACATGTGTGCTGGGATCCAATGCCATCCTTACTGCCAGCAAGTGCTCTCACCTACTGGGTCATCTCCCCAGACCCCCAAGCCTCCCCTTTAAATAGGGACACTGCTTATGCTTGATTAGGCCACCCCCACATGACCTCATCTTGACTTGATGGCCTCTGTGAAGGCCCCATCTCCAAATACAGTCATACTCTTAGGTCCTGGGGGTCAGGACTTCGATAGGAGATAATTTGGAAGGAGCCAGGGACATGATCACATCAACAGTAGTTATCTAGATTTTCCTCCTGTGTTTGTTCATCGGTCTTCCTCCCGCTTCATCCCCCGGTCATCCAGCATGCACTGACCATCACCAGCTTTCCCATTGGGCACAGTTTTCATGTGGCTACATTAGCAGATGGAAGTCACCAGCACCATTTGGAGAGGCGGCTGAGCATGTGGTTCCTGCTGGGAACGGTGTGCACTGGAACTTTGTGTGGAGGGGCTGTGCTGTGCTAGGGAGCCCTGTCTTGCTTCTGTCATTTAGGGCTGTGGAGGTAAGTGGGAGAGGAGGGAGGAGACACTCTGGGGATGTCCAGAGGCTACAAGACAGATTGAGTGGCGGTGACCAACAGGTCTTACACGTTTTTTGTTTGTTTTTCGAGACAGGGTTCCTCTGTGTAGCCTTAGTCTTCCTGGAAGTTGCTTTGTAGACCAGGCTGGCCTTGAACTCACAGAGATCCGCCTGCCTCTGCCTCACCGGGATTAAAGGCCTGTGCCACTACAACCAGTGGTCTTTTATACCTTTAATCCAAGAGTTTTCTAGCTGTGGTGTGGCTCAGCCCTAGCACACGCCTTCAATTCAAGAGCTTTCTGCTTAAATACTGTAAACAGAATTAAATAAAGTCAACCATAGGTCAAGAGGCAGAACACGCAGCCAGTTGGCAAGACGTGAACATAGGATCAAGAAAAAAAAAAAACCATAGTAAGAGGGAGTCAGGAGGATGGATAGAGAGGCTCACAGGAAATAGAATGGAGGGACATTGAGCACCAAGAGGCTTGCTTGAGACTGTGTAGGAGAAGGGAGCTGTGGGACAGCAGCTGAGAAAGAAGGCCAGCTGGGTGCTCTCTCTGCTCTCTGAGCTAGCAGGCTTTGGTCCCAGCATCTGGCTCTCAAGTCTTTATTGAAAAACCAAATGGTTGAGATTTTATTAAAATCAATAGGGGGCAGCAGCCACACATGGGGATGCCGTCTGCTTGCACTGGATAGAGATGATGGCTGTCAGAGGGCTGTAGCAGCCATGACCACGGAAGCTCTGCTGATGGACCTGCCCACGGAAGCTCTGCTGATGGGCCTGCGTGGTTCACAAGGTGCACAGTCCTAAAGGCTGAGCCTCAAGTGGCCTTGGTTCTTCACAGCCACATGGTCCCCGGGCCCGATCTCCTGCTCTCTGGAAGTTTTACAAACTACCTGTACCCTTCCACCATTCCTCTTCTGGAACTTGCTGAAGCCATCCCCTCATCTGTAAACCTGAACCAGAGGATTTGGTAGAGCCTTTTAGGGAACATCTGCCACTGATGTTACTGTCCCTGGACTGCCAGATATTACTGTGTGTACCTGGAGGTTTCTCTCCCACCCACCAGTTCCCAAATAACTATTCTGAGGCTTAATATCAATTACAAACTGTTTGGCCTATTAGCTCAAGCTTATTATTAACTAGCTCTTACAACTTAAATTAACCCATTTCTATTATTCTATATTTTATCATGAGGCTTATGGCTTGTTGACTCACATCTTGACTCTCCAGTGACTGTTTGCATCTCCCTGACTCTGCCCTTCTTCTCCCTATAGTTTTGCTTGGCTTTTCCACCTAGCTATAGTCTGCTTGGCTATTGGCCAAATCAGCTTCTTGATTAACCAATGGCAATAAAACATATTCACAGCATTTCAGAGGGGCATCTCACATCAACTGTGCCTTGGCTGTTGAGGTCCAAAAAGGCTAGCAGAATCCAAAAGCTTTTCAGTCCCTCTAAGCAAGAGATTTCTGCCAATATATTGTCAGAAAGCCCTTAAGCCAAGAGGACATGAAGCTCAGGACCAAAAATGCCCAAGATTCAGCGTCTTATTAGTCCTGCAACACCACTGCAATGCATTATTCTGAAGAAGCATGTGCTAAGAGGATGTATAACACACTAACACCACTGCCAGCATTGTTCTGAAGAAGCATGCGCTAAGAAGATGTATAACACACTAACACCACTGCCAGCATTGTTCTGCAGAAGCATGCGCTAAGAGAGTGTATAATACGCTAAACTTTGGCTAAGAGAATGAAGGAAACCAAAGAAAATGTCAGGAACAGATAGCTAAGTGTCATAGGCTGTCTTCACTGAGAGCATCCACTTCTGAGTCCAGTCTAAGATAGGACTTTAAGACTAACAAAAAGCTGGGAGGTGGTGGTGCACGTGTATAATCTCAGCACTCAGGAGGCAGAAGCAGGCGGATCCCTGAGTTTGAGGCCAGCCAGGTCTATAGGGCAAGTTCCAGTATAGCCAGGGCTACAGAGAGAAACCCTGTCTCAAAAAAAAAAAAAAAAAAAAAAAAAAAAAAAAAAAAAAAAAAAAAAAAAAAAAAAAAAAAAAAAAAAAAAACAACAACAACAACAAATCAAACAGGACTGGAGAGATGACTCATTGGTTAAGACCACTGACTATTCTTCCCGAGGTCCTGAGTTCAATTCCCAGCAACCACATGGTGACTCATAACAACCTGTAACGAGATCTGATGCCCTCTTCTGGCCTGCAGGCATACATGCAGGCAGAACACTGTATCCATAATAAGTAAATAAATTTATTTTTTATTTTTAGAAAGGAGAACACTCGTTCATTTCCCTGCCACCCAGACCCGAATAATCACACGGAAACTGTTTGGCCAATGACTCAGGTGTTTTCCTAGCTAGTTCTTATATCTTAAATGAACCCATTTCTGTTAATCTGTGTGTCGCCACAATGCTGTGGCTTACTGGTAAGGTTCTGATGACTGTCTCCTTTGTCAGCTACCTGAAGTCTCCCTGACTACACCTACTCTCTCTCTATCTCTCTGTTCGGATTTCCCACCTGACTTTATTCTGCCCTACCATCGGCCAAAGCAGTTTCTTTATTAGTCAATGGTAATAAAACATGCTCACAGCATACAGAGGGGAATCCCACAGCAGAAGAGGGAGAAGCAACTGACTTTGCATGTGTGCTCTGGCATGCACAAGCTTGTGGGCACATGTGCACACACACATACATAATGGGATTTCTAATTAATCTTAATAATAAAAACCTGGAGTCAGGTATTCGTGGGTGAAAGCTGAAAGATCAGAGAAACAGAACAGCCAGTCATTAGTTCTTGCAAACTCCTCAGACTGAATGGGGTCTCTTCAGGTCCTCAGACCGAATCTTGTCTCTACAGAACCTCAGACTCAGAATGAAGTGAGCTCATGTCTCCTCCTGCCTTATGTTCCTCTCTCTGTCCATCCATATCCCTTCCTGTCTCCACCTCCCTAGTGCTGGGATTAAAGGTGTGAGTCACCACTGCCTGGCTTTGTTTCTCTTTTAGACTGAATCAATCTTGTGTAGCCCAGGGCAACCTTGAACTCACAGAGATCCTCCTGCCTCTGCCTTCTGAGTGGTGGGAATACAGGTGTGTGCCAGGACTGTCAGGCCTCTGTGGCTATATAGTGACTTAGCTCTGCACTCTGATCTCCAGGCAAGCTTTACTTGTTAAATAATATCAACAAAATATCAACACATATACACATTTTCAAAAATGCTTCGTTTTTTTAAAAGCTAAAGCATTTATTACAGGGCTTGGCAAATGCCTCTAATCCGGTTTTCAGGAGGCCGAGGCAGGAAGATTAGAAGTTCAAGGCTAGCTTGTGCTACACAGCTAAAGAGACCCTATCTGAACAAAAGCAAGAAACAAAACAAAGTGAGGTGGAGCGGAGCAGGAAGAGGGGCGGAAACAGTGGTTGGTATGTATTTTTTTTTTCAAGACAGGGTTTCTCTGTGGTTTTGGAGCCTGTCCTGGAACTAGCTCTGTAGACCAGGCTGGTCTCGAACTCACAGATGGTTGGTATGTAAAGTGAATAAAATTTTAGAAAAAAAGAAACAAAACAAAATGAAACAACTCTCCTCCTAACCCTCCTTAAGTATTTAAGCAGGCATTTTATTTTTTAAATTGTTTTTATTGAGATATATATTTTTAATCCACTCCCCTCCCTTCCTCCTCCCTACCCTCTCTCATGGTCCCCATGCTCCCAGTTTACTCAGGAGGTCTTGTCTCTTTCTATTTCCCATATAGATTAGATCCATGAATGTCTCTCTTGGGGTCCTCTTTGTTGTCTAGGTTCTCTGGGATTGTGAATTTGTAGGCTGGTTTTACTTTGCTTTATGTCTAAAACCCACTTATGAGTAAGCATATGTTATATTTGTCTTTCTGGGTCTGGGTTACCTCACTCAATATGATGTTTTCCAGATCCATTCATTTGCCCACAAATCTCAAGATGCCATTATTTTTTTTCTGCTGTGTAGTACTCCATTGTGTAAATGTACCCCATTTTCCTTATCCAGTCTTCGCTCGAGGGGCATTTAGGTTATTTCCAGGTTCTGGCTATGACAAACAATGCTGCTATAAACATAGTAGAGTATATGTCCTTGTAGTAAGATTGAGCATCCTTAGGGTATATACCCAAAAGTGGTATTTTGCTGGATCTTGAGGAAGGCTGTTTCCTAATTTTCTGAAAAACTGCCATACTGATTTTTAAAATAGCTGAACAAGTTTGCACTCCCACCAGCAATGGAGGAGTGTTCCCTTTACCCCACACCCTCTCCAGCATAAGTGGTCATTAGAAAAACATGGAACGCTTCACGAATTTGCGTTTCACCCTTGTGGAAGGGCCAAGTTAATCTTCTCTGTATTGTTCCAATTTTAGTTTGTGTGCTGCTGAAGCGAGCACTAAGCAGGTGTTTCTCTAAACTCCCTACACGAGGAACAGCCCATGTTCACACCTGGGTCCCTATGAGGCGGGCCACACTCTCATCAACACCTTCACCCGTGCGGGTCTAGGGTGGATTTAGGATTCTCAGCGTCTCCCAGTACAGACCATCAGAGCACAGACTCCGTGTTCTGCTCAGAACTCAGGGCCAGCAGTCGCCAGTCCAGGCTGTAGAAGGAACCAGAAACAAACCCGGCCATCAGCGTCCTCTGGATGTATTGTCTGGTGAGGTGCCCTTAAGGAAACTAGTCTGACCAGACAAGTGCGGCTTCTGCGGATGTGGGCTTACCGCCATCTCGTGGCAGATTATAAAATTGCAAACACACAGAATTTGCTGTGAGGTATGGTCAGATTCCAGAAAGAGATTCCAGACAAAGTCCAAGGGAACTTCATCCTCCGGGAACATCAAGGCCCCATTTAGAACTTGTATAGGCACAGACCAGTGATAGAAGAACATGGTTCTGGGGCATCCTGCATCTGTATTCCCGAATGCAGGACATCCTGGATGTCATGAAGGCAAAGAGCACTGGCATATGCTCGAACCTGTCTTGTGTGGGACTGAACTTTATACACTTGTGAGTAAACCTTTCAGAAGGAAACACGAACATCTGTGTTCCTGGAAGGACTAAGAACACTCAGAGACCATCGGTTGCCTTGCCACAGGGTCAGACTTGCTGTTGTAATGTAAATTACGTTGGTAAACTGTCATACGCTATTAAAACTGATTGAAAATGGACTCTTGGATCAGGGGGACCCTTCCTTGTCTCCTGTGTCCTGTGCCAGGCTGTCCAGGAGAGGGAAAATCAGCAAGCAGCTAAGGGCATTGAAAACACTGAGTCTCTGAGAATAGCTGGACCATTTCCAGCAAGGTTTGCCGTGGTGCAAAGCACCTGCAGAGGAAACAAGAAACAGGTGCTTAGCCATCAAGAGAAGGCCCTCACGTGGGAGCCACGGCCAGCTGCTCCCGCCTCAGGTGATTTCTGTGGACTGCCTCTGAGTTTCTGACTTGATGTCACCTTCGTTTTCTCTCCTAGTTCCTGTACTCCAGTCAATTCTGTTGGGTGTTATTAGCACCCAATTTGTTTTTCTGTTTATTGCTTCTCTCAATTGGATGTTTATTCTTTTATTTCTCTCTCTCTCTCTCTCTCTCTCTCTCTCTCTCTCTCTCTCTCTCCATAGTAACAAACGATCATATATAATACACAGTGTGTATGTAAAATGTAACAATTTTATATAATACATTGCATATATATTCACTCATTCAGAACAGCACGGCTATGCAGCTCACTATTTGGACTACAGCAGTGCTGGCGTGGCTTTGGCTTTCTGCGTGGACTGTGGACGCAGAGGAGATCAGGTGTGGCCCTGAATTAGCCATCCTGCTGTGCTAAAACAGAAGAGAGAACGCATTCTCCGGCCTCTGGCTGCAAGGTGGCCCTGTCTGGAGGTGGAGTGGGGACACATGGGAGGTGCTAAGACACATGCTCTGCCAGACAGTCTCTGGCTGCTTCACCTGTGGTTCAGGGGATGTCCAGGAGAGACCACTCATGGTGACGCAGCTGTGTGAAGACCTCACCGAGCAGCTCAAGTCTCCAAATTATTCATTGTCCTGGGTTCAGGTTCCAGTGGGCCTCAGCAGCATTTCCCATCATCCTCTTGGAAGCACTGCCCCAGCAGTCCCATGGAGGCATCTCTCCACCATCTCCTTTGCTGTTGGTACAACTGTGACATATGTCCGAATCATTCTGCAAACCAGGTGTTAGGAGCCAGGAGTTATAAGCAACAGAGCAAGCTCATAGAAAAGGAAACGAAAATGAATTGCCTTTCAGGAACTTTACTTTATTAAGGGGGTTTTAGACTCGTTGCTATAGGCAAGGAGACTGTGCAGTCGGCGGCATCAGAAGGAACAGACACGGCAGCATGAAGGAGGTCCTGAAGGGAGAGAGCCTTCAAATCCCCTCAGTTCTGGGACATCGGGAGAGTCGCTGGATCATATGATAGACAGTGCCACTGGGCCCTAAAGGCACTGGGGAACTAAGAGGGTTGCTTGCTGTTACAGATTGTGTTTCGTTGCAGAGGGTTGCTCTAAACCTACACGCTACAAGTCAGGGAGCCATGGTAAGGACTGGACATGACTCCAGACAGACTTGTGTTTGGGCAGTGGGGAAGGAGGCAAGTCAACTGCCAAAGACGAGAGAATTTGAGGGTGTGTAGAGCAAGGTCACGGCAGTCCCTGGCTGCCTTGCTGGGGATTGCAAGAGTTGTGTGATTTGAGCTAGGGAGCTGAGCTAGAGGGACCTTGAGTTAACAGAGGGGCAGGGCTTAAGCCCTTGTCCAAAGCCTCTGATGCTCCCTGTCCCAGCTAAAGGCTCACCAGGCCCCTGTTTGTGCGTGGAGCCCAGAGCTTCTCGTTCTCACGATCAGCCGTTCCCACAGGCTTGCTACCCCTTGGCTCCCTCCATCTGCTGCTAAGGTGGCCCCTCCTCCTCTCTCTGCCAACTCTGTCCCATAACTGCCCTGCCTGTCACTCACTGCAATACACAGGTGCCAGAACAAAGAGCACGTGTTGCCCACTTGCAGCTGTTGACAGAGGGTGAGAGCTGGCAGTCCAGGGGAGAAGTGGCATTGGTCCTTGATCTGCAGGAAAACTCTAGGGATCTGCTGTGAGTTAGCTACCCTGGTCCCTGTGGCATGAAGACATTAAGGGTTGTCAGGGCGTGGAGGAGGGGCCTCCTTAGCAGCAGGTGGAGGGAGCTAAGGGGCAGCAAGCCTGTGGGAAAGGCTGCTTGTGAGAATGAGAAACTGGAAGTGAGACACTCGAGACTCCAGGGACTCCCAGCACAGACATTCTCACACCACAGACAGGGCTGAAACTCTCGGTGTGACTACGGAGAGCCTCTTTGACGTCTCGTGAGTAACAAGTTTGAGATTTAGTCAGAGACTGACGTCGTGGACGCTAAAGAACCGCAGCAGCTCCTCAGAGCGGGCAGTCTCTCCCACGGGAGTCAGAGGCTGGGGATGCAGCTGTGGGGTGGGAGTAGAGTGTGTGCCCTGTGCACACACAGCCTGAGGTTTGATACCCAGCCCTGCAACATGAGAAGGGAGTCAGGATGCTGGTTTGGGAAGCAGAGGGTCCCTACAGCACAGCACCAATCCCTAGGTGGTGTGGCTCGGCCGTGGCGGTGGGTCTAGGCAGCCTTCATGGGACACTCAGCAATGCATCATTGGCCCCATCACAGCCCATGAAGGCTGAAGGATGGGCTCTGTGAAGAACAATGCGTATGCTTTATTTGTATTATTATTAATATTATTATTTTGTTGTTACATTTTTGAGACATTCTCACTATGTTGCTCAGGCTGACTTTAAACTACTGAACTCAGATAATCTTCCTGCTCCGGGCTCACAAGTTGCTGGGACCACAGGCGGGTGCCACTGTCTTAGGTCCTGGTGTCCGGCCATGAAGGGGTCAAGCAGGTAAAAGGATAACGGTGAGGAGGTGGCTGTAGAAGGAGCAGGGCCAGGGCCTGGTTTGTGCGTTGATTCCCCAGCTGCCCCAGTACCCAGCAGCCTCCTCTGCGCTCCGTCCCTCCCCTGCAGGCCTGGCCATCTCTGCACACTCTGCACCCTGCGGGCTGTTGTTTCTTCCTCTGCATGCCACCGGGTGTCCATGTCCTCAGCAATCCATTCTGAGTTTCAGTCCCTTCATCAAAACTTAGACTTGAAGTCAAAAATCCATGCCTGGGAGACCTGGGATTTAAGGGTCTCTGCTCATTTATAGGACAATGGGATCCGTCACCTAAGGGCGAGCCACTTTCTTTTTCTAGTTATCCGATGAGAAATGAAATAATTCATACCTAAAGACATCAAAATGATTTCAAAGTTATTTAAACCTTGGAACAAAGCATCTTCCATTGAGAAAATACTAAAATTGCTCCGGGAACACCATGTGTGCCTGTTAATTTGAACTGCAATCTTGATCCCACCTATATTCATCCGGAAGGAGTGTTGGTACAGCATTATCTAGATGACATTGGCCTCTGTGTGTGTGTGTGTGTGTGTGTGTGTGTGTGTGTGTGTGTGTGTAGGGGTTGTCTTGTTAGTTGGGTGTGATGACCTTCCAGAATGTGGGTGGTAGCATTTCCATGGATGGGGCCCTGAACTCTATTTAGAACAGTAAGAAGGCTAGCCGGCCATCAGAGCACCAAGTCTGCAGGGATCCATTCATTCATTCATTCTCTGCTCTTGACTTCGGCTGTGGTTTTCCTTCCTTGACTTGCCCACAACAGTGGTCTGTGTACTGGATCTACAAACTGAAGTAGAGACCCGTTCTTCCCAAAGCTGCTTCCAGTCAGGATGAGTATTTTATCAGAGCCACAGAAATTAAACCAGGGCTGGATAAAAGCGGGTGCACAGTTGCTTCTTCACCCACCCCCACTTTCTTTTTCAATGGTTTTTAGAACAAAGCAAACAAAGAGACCCGGGATTGTTAAAGGTTGTGGATAAGATTATAGTTTAATGTGTGGAACAATGAGAGTAAGCTAAGGGAGTTCTCTTCCAAATGCTGGCCTGGAGAGAGGTTTCAGACAGTAAAAGCAGTTGCCTTGCAGGCACAAAAACCAGTTCAATGCCCAGAACCCTTGTAAAACAGAAAACAAAGAGCTGTGGTGGTGCATGCTGGGAAGCAGAGGCAGGTGAATCCGGGGCTCCTCTGACCGGCCGGTCTAACCTACTTACTGCGTTCCGAGGTGCTGAGAGACTGCCACACACACACACACACACACACACACACACACACACACACGCCTGGCATTGCTACAGCTCACTAACCATTTACCTTCCAAACCATGTGTCAGAACTGAGCACGTCAGTATTCCGACACTCGCATCAGACAGCCACTTTTGGCACGAGCTTTGTGTTTCTGCGTCCCCAGTTCAGGTTCGCCATCTGCCTCCGCAGCACT